CAGATTATTGACATAAAGAATTAGCCACAACTTTATCCGCTACCGGCAAAGCTGCTCCAGTTGCAAGTGCGCTAAATTGCGGCGGCTGCATCACATTATTCACATTTATGTAGATCTTTTCCGAATTTTCCAAAAATGCACCTTTCTCTGCTTTCCCATTCAAAAAATGTTGATAAGTGGTACTGTCGCTTCTCGTGTGCAAGGGATGTGCAAAGCCATGTGTCCAGATTCTGAAATTCGTTTCCGTTGTTCCAATGGTATGATTCACCCTCTGGAAAAATGCGAAATTGGAAGAAGTAATCGCAAGTTTGTAAAGGAATATGCTCGACCTGCTGCTGGACGTGATCATCTCCATCCGGAATGTCTTCGGCCTCCAGATATTCTCATAGAAACCGTCAGATATTTAATGGAAGTATACGAAGAAGAGAAGAACATACGTTTTGCTTGCGTCTATGCGTTTATGTGTGACCGTTTGAGAGCTGTTAGACAGGACATGATCCTTCAAGTTGTCTTGCCTGTGGATACAGTTCGGATTCTACAAGAAATGATACCATTTTATTTTGAAAGTGATTATTTATGCAGGACGAAGGGGTGCAGTTCATATGACTGGAAATTACACTTGACTTCACTGGAAGAATGTCTTTCAAGATGGAAAGAAGCCTTACCTTATGTGTCGAAGGAGCTTATTAGTCCAAGAGTAATATGCGGCTACATTCTTCATCAAATTCCAGCCCATTACGCGATGATCGATATATACAATTGGAAGGAACTTATCCCTGATTTCTTCTATCTTCTACGCGATATTGTCGTCTCATATCATTGCAATAACTACGTCAGATTTTTTCGCAAACTCCTTCAACTTCCCCTTGATCACTGTGTTGTGGCAGCTGTTGAAGCTATCCAAAGATTAAGGCGCAAGACATTGTCCACACTCTGTATAGCCTATAAATCCACTCAAATGAGGGTTCCTATTTCTGCAATGACTCAATGGCTTTATTATCCTGATACTTGTGATCTCATCGCTCTTCTTTCATGTTGTTCCGTTGCTCAAGCAGATTCTATTCTGGTTTCTTCTATAAATCTGAACGCACTTGAGAGTGAAGAATCTAAGAAGTTGCTTGCTAAATTATGATTTATCATGCGTGACATGATGCTTTCCTTTTTCGTATGTACAATAAGCATAATAAATATGTCTTAGAACCATGGAGGCAGTGGTAATGATCTCAGATATAGCTTGGATTCCTCGAGGAGTTGCGAAGAAGAATCCGGATAAAGTGA